TTACTGTTCGTACTGACTCCGACTAATTCTGTATGCGGCTACAGGGCTGATGAAACTACCACCATGCGTTAAGCACCGGGGCTTAAAAGGCTTCCAACTGACACTCACTGTCAGACCTCGCAGTCAGTCAAAAGCATGTTTGTACGCTCTCCGATTGGTGTTCTGAGAGTCACGCTATAATGGCTCTTAATCAACTTTGTCTCTTGTACTCTCACTCATGTGAGATGTAGGCTATTCAATCCCCTAATACTGTTGACTATTATTTTAAATGAAGGTCCATTTTAAATTAGATCTGTCTTATTATGTATAACATACTGCTCATTCCTGTTGTTATGCAGTTGATTAAGCGCAGCTGTGGTTACCAACTTTTTATTTATTTTTACGATAGCACCATTTTTGTAATGAAAGGGCCTCAAATATACAATTTAATTATTTTGTGTGAAGTGCTAGTGCTTGCTTTTTTGGGGCCCAGGTCCGTACGTGTAGACGAGCTGACTTATTCACACACCTAATTTAGTTCGACCTCGTAGCCTTCTTTGCTGGATCAATGTGTTGTTAACCGTTTAAGCAGACTATTGAGCGAAATCTGCCCTGAGAGATTGAGTGCTTGTTTGCATATTGTAGATTTACTTCAGCACACAGCTAACTGTGGTATAGCGTTAGGCGTAATGTTCCGGCAGTCTCTGGCTGAACGCAAACCTCCAGAAATCAAGGCTTTTCTTCAAGGTCCTCTCATAATATAATTTTTCCTCTAATTGGTTGGGCGATGGTGTTCTGAGACTTTCCCATGTAATATATTTGAACGATTACACATGTATCGTCTACATGGAGCAGCAAACATTAGCAGTGAACTAAGAATAGCGTAGTGGTCTGCATCGACCAGACCCCTGATGCCTACAATAGACTACGCTGACAATGAGATGGTATTGTTCTCGAAGTACTAATCATCTAACAGAACATTTAAAAAACCTTTAAATGACTACTGATTTCGTTCTTTGTTCGTTCTTCCTGATGTGTCTTCTATGAGTAAGCTTTTACGGTATTCCCGCGTTCACTGGGGTGGCAGATCGCGTAAATCGGATTTTCAACAGTTAGTTCGAGTTTACGCATGCCAGTTCTCAGTGTACGCCCGTCGTCCATTCGAGCAAGGATTGACAACGGGGTAAAATAGGCAAATAACTGAAAAAGCGACAAGACATGGGGCATTTTCGATGTTTCAGGCCACCAAGTTGAAGGAAATGAGACGTGTGAATAACAGTCTTGGAAATGGCACCCTAAATACTCTGTACATCGGTGTACGAGACAGAGGATATCAATTGAAGAGGAACCAGGTTAGCAAGCCAAGCACTCTTCGACCCCCATTCGACATCAAATAGTTTTTTGAACTGGTCGGCACAGAAGATTAAAGTGACTATGACTTTCCATAGTGTTTCGTTCGCGTGCACTTTTAGGGTAGTGTCGTGTTCACTAGGGTGGCAGTTTGCGTAAATCGTTGACTTTACGCATGTCAATCATCAGTATACCTTCACTGCCCATTCAAGCAAACATCAACAACGAGGTAATACAAGCAAGTAGATAAAAAAGCGACAGGGCGAAATGCGACACTACCATATCAATTAGGCATGTTCGATATACAGTGGATGAGGAAGTTCCGTGCTTACAGCACTACAATTATCAGATCGAATCCCAGGTTGCAGGTAAAGGACAAAAGGCACCAGTAGGAAGGATATATTGTGCACACTGCCCTGAATTGCTGCCTTAGGTGGCAGTGGCCGCTGGCGAAGCCAGATCTGATGTTGACTGCGCCCAATCGTGCCCGAGAATGTCCGACTGGCTGTGTGTCTGCTGTTAGAGATGTTAAGATGGCAGCTGCTTTTACATGACAGTGGAGCGAGCTCAGGTGGTATATGGTTGGTGTGTTGCATTGTCCGAAGGGGGTGTCGCGCGTAGGGGCCCCTGTTACGGTGACCGGGGGGTGACATGTTCAAGTGGTTCTTGTGAAACCGCGACTAGTTCTGCACGCGCGTGTGTGCCCCTGTACGCGCACGTGTGTGTGTGTGCTAGTAGAACCTGGTCAAGAGTTGTAAGGTCAGCGAGCCGGTAGACAGCTGCCTGCGAAAACGCGTGCCGTTTACGCAGCGAGCATGGGGAGGGAGAAAGCATTGTTGGCCGTCCGCCAGAGATGTTGAAGGCGTGAAATTTATGCTGGGTTCTCCTTTAGCGTCGTTAATCAAATCCCCCCC